ATTAGGTTTGCGCTATTAGGTTGGAGGCCATCGCTATTAGGTTGGAGATCATCTCTATTAGGTTGGAGGCCATCGCTAGTGGGTTGGAGGCCATCGCTATTAGGTTGGAGGCCATCTCTATTAGGTGGGAGGCCATCGCTAGTGGGTTGGAGGCCATCGCTATCAGGTTGGAGGCCATCGCTATTAGGTTTGCGCTATTAGGTTGGAGGCCATCGCTATTAGGTTTGCGCTATTAGGTTGGAGATCATCGCTATTAGGTTGTTTATCCTTTTTTTCGTTCTTTTCTTTCTTTCTGTCTGAGTCTCAGAGCGTTTCGGGAGGTCGTGCCTGCATGGACTTCGGCAGACACTGCCTCCGCTCGATGGCAAGCACGTGTGTATGGAAAAGGCAGGTGTGGTAGTGGCTTAAGTAGCTACTAGCGGGCTGCCTACCCCCTCCTTTTAAATAAAATAGAAGATCTCTTGTTCCTAATAGCTTCTTGTTACTACTAGTAAGGCACCTGTTACTACTAGCGTGGCACTTGTTTCTAATAGCTTCTTGTCATAACTCAAATGAATGCTTTCGAATGTTTCCCAAATTGACCGGTCCAGCCTTTCCACCACTCGTGGGTGGCTTCTCAGCCAGTGATTCCAGCCTTGGCGGAAGACTGAGCACAAGGAAGTCTGATGACACCCTCTTTCATCTGAAGTGAAAACACCACAAGGAGTCTGGCAAGGCTTCTGTTTCTTCTGGGCCTGCAAACGTGGGGTCTGCTGTGAAGTCTTCCAAAAGAATCCATCAGCATCTTGCACTGTTTGCTAAAAGCGCACCTGCTTCAGTTGCATAAAGTGCAAGAAACCTCAGGACCAAGCGGCAGAGACAATGATGCAGCTACTTTATACATGATTTGCTTGAAGACATAGTATATAACGGTTTTTACACTTCTCTTCTTTCCCTTCATCTCTCCTTCGAGTTTGTTTACTTCTTTATATATTTCTTTACACCTTCTTTATCCTGTTTCTTTCCTTTACATCTTGTCTACTCGGAAATGAGGAGTATCCAGCTTTGCACCTTAGAAACCAGCCTCTCTTGCAACTGCTTGTCTGACTCCTGGTGGCGGATGTGTAGGGTTCTCGGGAGTGGATACCTGACATGGGCTACCTGACCGCGGCACCGCTTTAGCGTCCCATTTTCGGCGGCTGAGTCCGGAGATAAGGAACCTGCAAACGACCTGGGACCTACTTGGCGAATTGTTCCTAGTAGCTTCTTGTTCCTAGTGGAGCCCCTAGTAGCGTCCTTGCTCCTACTAGAGATGGCCTCCAACCTACTAGCGTCCTTGCTACTAGTAGCGATGCCAGGAGCCCCTAGTAGCTTCTTGTTCCTAGTAAGCTTGCAAGAAGTTATTGGGATTATCTCTGAGAACCATCTAACCAGGACATGTCCAGATCTGGCAGAAAGGATTCGAGCTGAGTCAAGTCATCTCCCGACTGCCATGACAGGCACATGTCGCCGGACATGTCGGACATCTCATGGCTCCAGTGCGAAATCACGGGTCTTTCTGGATGGCGTCGGAAGCGAGCAATGCCGCGCTCTTGGAATGGTAAAGTAGGTAACAGATCGTGCGGAACGATGAGTTCCCATTCCGATTCAGTTTCACGCACCAGCGCCACTTGTCTGCGCTTTCCCAATGCTACCAAAAGTGGCTCTTCTTCAAGTATTCCGAGCTTTTGCTTGACCATGGTTGCCTTTTGTTCACCACTCATACCTGCGTCATGTAATCGGTCATCCTGAAACACCACAATCTCAAGCTCCTCAAATGTGACAGAGACAAGTCTAGCCTCAGAGTGACCCTTCTCCCATCGATAGGGCACTGTGCCCAGCACGTGATCTCTCTGAAACTGAGTGTACAAACCTCTCCAGTCTTTGAGCTGCTGTGAGCCATCACCATCAAGGTCGTCGTGAGCACTTGGAGGACTCCCTTCATTGTACGAAGCCAGGGTCGTATCACCTGCCAACACCTTGTATACTGTCACCCCCTTCACCACCATTGGCTTGGTCAGTGCAAGCTCCGCACCAGAAAGCTCTTGGGCACTCATGTCCAAGCCGTCAAATGTCTTTAAGCACTGTACAAACATCTCATACAGGAAGACTAAGTCTCGCCTTGAGCACAAACGTTCTGGGCAATTTGCAAAGAACCAAGTACCTGGAAACACCTTCGGAGCGATTCAATCCTGTGTTGGATCGGTTGCTTTGCCTATGTCCGCCTAAACCAAGTCTAATGAGCCCATTCAGGTTTCGTTGTTCCCGTAATGTACTTGGGTGGATCAATATTGAAGCAATGAGACTGGGATCTGACAGGGCCACAATTCAACAAAAGGAAACAAAGAAAATGGACAAAGTGAGAAAATGGTAAAAGCAACTCAGTAAAGAAGTGTTGCTAGTTTCAAGCGGCTCTTCAACGAGACTTCTCTCAAGGGGTTAGGACATGCTGAACATGCTTTGTTCTACTTCCTGTGAGGGGAGAAACGCACAACCATCTGCTTCAACAAGAAGCTACTAGGGGCTCCTGGCCTTACTAGTAGGAGCAAGCTACTAGGGGCTCCTGGCATCGCTACTGGGAGCAAGAAGCTACTAGGAGATGCTTCAACTTGGAAACCACGGCAACTGACATCTCCAGCTCCTGGTCGTCAGGCTCCCCATTCTCCATCAGGCATCAGCATGCTTCAATGTAGCGACACGCAACCAAAACGCCAAAAACATTGATCATTTGAGTCGTTGAAGGGGCCCTGCCTAAAGGGACCCTGACCATTCCCCTTTATTCATCTCTCTTTTTCCTTGTTGGATTGGCACAAGCCATCTCCACAGGTGGGCCGTTGGAAGCTCAAGTTGACTTGGCAGTATTGTGTTGCGCAAGTAGTATGCAGATTGCAGGAATTCTCCGGTAAGATTGACAACTGCATGTTCTGGTGGGCTTGAAACGAAGCGGCGTGCACACTCAGCTTAGAAGTCTGGCTATTTGGGGAAGAATCTTCAGCTACAGTAAAATGAATGTGCCATCATGTGGTTCACGCAGCTTGTCGTTTATTTTCCAATAAAAAAAGAAGCGGCAAGCTGACTGATTCCCTGCGCTGAATTCATGATCTGGAAGTGAAACTGGAAACTGGTGACACTTAGATTCTGAGCTTTCATTGGAAAAGCCCGTCTGATTGAGGTAATTAAGCGACAACAAATTCTGTGAGTTGCTGTACAAACTTTCACCCACCAAAGGAAGCCTTTTCCACTCATATCGTCGACAAGTCATAGGATAATGTGAGCTTTGCATTTCAGGCTTTGTAATGGACGCTACTAGGAGCAAAGGGCATCGCTACTAGGAGCTCCTGGTCCTACTACTAGGAACAAGAAGCTACTATAAACAAGAAGCTACTATAGAATTAGAATTAAAATAGAATTCAGTTTAATTTTCAGGCTTTGATCTGGCTTTCCTTCGGAACCACGAGAAGCAAGTGCACCTGACAGGGAGAGCATAATTTTTCACACTGGGACACTGGTGACATATTCTGTCAAAATTTCAAAAGACATCAAGTTCTTGGTGCAAATGAATAGTTGCAAATCCAGTAGTGTCCTTGTTGCTAATAGTAAGGCCAGGAGCCCCTAGTAGCGCCCTTGCTCCTAGTAGCGATGCCAGGAGGCCCTAGTAGCGTCCTTGCTCATAGTAAATGAATAGTTGCAAGACATCAAGTTCTTTATTTATCACGGAGTAAGCACGGGCAACATTCATAACACTCAACATCTTGAGATCACATTTTCGTTCCAGTCACCTGCTAGCAAACACAGCAAAGGATAGTCAAGCCAAAACACTCAAAGTAAGGAACAGATCTGACGATTCCTTCGCTGGGTGTGTGGGACACCATCTGTTTGCTGTTGTAGGAGGTACGTGCCAACGACCGAAACGATTGCCTCACCTGCAGCTTTTCAGGCTGCCATGGCTGCCAAGGCCGCCAGCCGCTCCTTTTCCTGTTATTTCGGAAACTTCGTGAAAGAATTTGTCCTTGCTGCGCGCCAAACCACGTTTTGGGCATAAAACTGCTCTCCTATCCATACACTCCCTTCAAGCGATCGATTGATTCCTGAAGTATGCAAAGCATTGCAAAGCTCTGTTCCAATGTCAACTGGATCGGAGGGATAGTGAAGCTTGTCCAACCGATTGGACCCGTGGCGATTGGACCCGTTGCCACGAACTGGTCGACCCCGATGACGAACTGCGCCTTCCGAGCAATGTTCTGCTCACGCAGGCGTTGGAGACGTTCCAGCTCCTCGATGGAAAGAACGGCACCATGGACCCCAGAACGCAGTTGCTCGGTCTCTGAGAATCTAGATCTCAAATGCAAAACACGTTCGGCTAGAGAATTCAGTGGGGTCAGGGCCTGGCTCCAAATTTGAGAATTCCACATCTCAGATCACCACGGACCAGAACTCACCACGCATCATTCCAACAGTGAGTTCGAAACACGGAGATTTGAGGGAAACCTCTGTTTCTCCAACCTACTAGCGATGGCCTCCAACCTAATAGCAATGGCCTCCAACACGGATATTTGACGGAAGCTTCTGTTTCTCTGCCAAAGAAGTCTAGGCATAATATCATATGCTCAAACGGTGTCCTGGCTAATGGTGTTAGTGAGAGCATGAGGTAGCAAAGGGCATTGGACAAACGATTTCTTCATTGATGTTCAATGATGTGCATCCTGCTTCTTCTTGTCCGCAGCAGCTTGGATTTCAGCCTCGCGAAAAGCCAAAGGACCACTCCAAAAGGAAAACCTTGAGACCCCCCCACGAAGGAGGCTTTGCGAACGGATGTATCCTGTTGTTTTTCTTTTCTTTTGAAGCCCGCCTACTTGATTAAGTAAGGAAGTAAGCTTCTAGGTAGGACGCAGGAGAGCTCACGACTCACACTATTCATCTGCTTTCTAGATTTTTGCCGGGTTGATGGCCTCCTTCTCTTTTTGCACGAGCCGCCGCTGGTTGGCCTAACAATCGCAGCAAAGCAAACATCCGCTCGAGTGATGACGATTGCAAGAAGTAAAACTATTTGCTCGTATTGTCTGAAAACCTTGGTTGAACAAAACAGCCCAAGCAAAAGCACACCTGCAAGAAATGGATGCAACGTGTCGAAATACTCGGAAAACGCCTTTTGTTCCTCCTCAAACTTCTTCTTGCGGTAGGCTTCCCTGACTTCCTCAGATTGCATGTGCGAAGGATGGTCATATGCGGCAAGCTTTGCTGTGTTGCTTCAACTGCGACATCGTAGGACGCATTGAAAACAAACTTATATAGATTGACACATGTGTCCAACTCACAGCTTGGTGAAACACATGGAGCCCCTAGTAGCTTCCTTGCTCCTAATAGTAAGGCCAGGAGCCCCTAGTAGCGTCCTTGCTCCTAGTAGTGATGCCAGGAGCCACTAATTAGTAGCGTCCTTGCTCCTAGTAGCTTGGTGAAACACATGTGTGCAACTCTCGCTGATTAAAGCTGGGAAGAGCACTGCCATGTGCGCATTGCACTTTTGCACTCGTGCCTGTCGGAATGGAGAGAGAAAGCAACTGCGTCACACCGGTACAAATGATCCGAATCACAGCTCGTCTGTTGTTCTGTGGAAGTGATCGGCTTCAGCTGAGCTGATGGATTGTTAGTCCTTCCGTTTTGGTGTGAACACCTGTCATGTTCTGTGACTCAAAGGTTGATCGAGAAGACTTTGGAGCACCTCCTGCAGCTCTTTGATTCTCTTGTCGCGGAGACGCTCGAACCTCAGACGTCAGCACAGCAGTTTCTTGACATGACCACAGTGGACCAGGCGTCCAGCAGCTCACGTTGACGAATTGAGGGCAAACATTGTGAGAAGACAAACTGAATTGACTCTGGACTGGCTAGTAACAAGTGCCACGCTAGTAGTAACAGGTGCCTTACTAGTAGTAACAAGAAGCTATTAATTTAAATTGAATTTTCTCAGATGTAAGCCTAAGCCACGACAACTTAAGACATAGATGCTACGACATCTTAGGACACCCACTTTGCTCGGCGCTGCTGCTCTTCCATTTCCGCCTTGGATGTCCATTTGGAGAACAAGACGGCACTGAAAAAATTAGTGCAAGCAGAACAAGTTTCTTCTAGGGTACTGAAGAATGCGTGCAGGGGCTCCTGGCCTTACTACTAGGAGCAAGGACGCTACTAGGAGCAAAGGGCATCTCTACTAGGAGCAAGGACGCTACTAATTAGGGGCCCCTTGTAGCAAGGGATAGCAAGGACATGAGGCGAGCATAGAAGCGCTTTTAGGATGTTTTCTTGCATGGATTGCCATCGCATTGCTGGCTGCTAGTAGTAATGCCCTTGTTACTAGTAGCTTCTTGCTCCTAGTAGTAAGGCCAGGAGCCCCTAGTAGCGTCCTTGCTCCTAGTAGCGATGCCCTTGTTACTAGTAGCTGCTGCATCCTGTGAGGATTCTCAGTGCTTCGCCCTCATCTTCGCTTCAACAGCATCCAAAAGCTTGTCAGTGTCGGACTTGCCCTCCTTCATGCGAAACACTCATGGAGTCTTCCAAACCCCACCTCAAACAAAAGGTTGGTCTCTGAAGAAACACATAAAATGTGACCTTTCGTGACCTTTCGTGCATTCTGTTAGACCGTTTTTGGTTGTTGTTTTTATCCTTTTTTGGATATTCCTTTCCTTCCTTACTTCTAGCTGTATTCATTACTTTTTTTTGCAATTCGTTCCTGTTGCCTTTTCAAACAATTTTGGTTCCTTACGTAGAATTATTGTTCAGAGTTCTCCAACATCATTTGAACCCGTCCTTGCCCTCCTTGCCCTCCTCCTTCTTCCCTCCACGTTTCTCCTGTACATCAGCTGTCAAAGGAGAGCTTTTTCATGAACACTCATCGCTTGACTTGTCTCCCTTTCTGCAACGCATGTTGGAACAGAATTCAAGTCTCCTTGGCTGCTTCATCCTTTAGCGCGTTCCTGAGCATTCTCTGCACAAAAGGCTGGCTGCCAATGCACAATACACATGTAGATCCTGTGTTGAAACTTCTTCCCTCAACTACCAATTGTCCTAAAAACTCGATTTGCTCCTGCTGAATTATAAAAAACAACCTTGCTAGAAACAAACATGCTCTTCTCAACAAGGTAGAGATACCTTCAACTCTGCCTTCGTTCGAAACGAAACTTCCTCAGCTCCAAACTTCCCCTTTTTCTTCACTTTCTTGGGGACGGCTCTCTTCTCGTGGTACCTTATCGGCACATGTGGCCTCTTGAGGCCATCTAGGCAATTAGAAGAGCTGCTGGATGCAAAGAAAAGGCGGTTTTCTTTAAAAATCCGTTATTTTTGCTTTATCATGTCTCTTCTTTTTGTTTCTTCGTCTTTTTATTGTTTCTTTCAAACGTTTGGTCCAGACTTCCATCGGGGTACTTAAGTGGTTTTCTTTAGACCTTTTGGGCCTTCCTTCCTTCCTTTTCTCTTTCTTCGCTACCCTTGAAGTAGCTTATAGAATTGGTGCATCCATATTTGAAGCAGTAAACTGTGAATCTTCGATCTAGGGTCAAGACTCCGCAGTTGATTGGGCAATGGCTTCTGCGGCCTTGCGCAAAAAGAAAGCTGAAACCAGTACCCCAAATCCGCATGGGACCAAAATCCGCATCTTTGTTGTCGTGCTCTCAGGCAACCAGCCTGCTTCCGCTCCTCCATCCTCTTCAGTTGGGCCTAGCAAAGTGGCCCCGTGCTTTGCACAGAAGGCCTATGCTAAGAAAAAGCCAAGAGCCAAGCATATCAAGCTACTAGCGATGGCCTCCAACCTACTAGCGTGCTTGCTCCTAGTAGCGATGCCAGGAGCCCCTAGTAGCTTCTTGTTCCTAGTAGTAAGGCCAGGAGCCCTAGTAGCGTCATTGCTCCTTATAGAAAATGAAGCATGGGTTGAACCGCCTCAAAGATTGGTTGCCGCAGGCTGTGCAAGAGATTCAGGTACTCTTGGTTCCGCTCCTGCGTGAGTGGACACGGCTCTGGAAGTGTATCTTCCTAGAATCAGTTGCTGCAATTGAAACATTAGGATCAATCCCAGCGATTGATTTTCCTTGGTGCATGTTCTCAAGAAAAAAAATGAAAAAATCAGTTCACAAAGAAACATGCATCTTGTAGCATCTTGGATGCTTTCCTTGTGGTTGCTTCCAAAAGCTTTTGCAGCCCTGCTGACAACCCACACTTGAGACGCACGGCCACCTGCATCATCTTGGCCATTCGCAACCGCTCGGCCTTGACCTCAAGGACCTGCAAGGCGCATCACAATCTCAAAAGACAAGTCGACAAGACAGTAATCTTCTGATCTACATCAGAGAAAACATGCAGAACTCAAAGTCAAAACATTGCTGAACGCATGCTAATGAAAGCATGCTAATGAAAGCATGCTAATGAAAGCATGCTAATGAAAGCATGCTAATGAAAGCATGGTACTGAAAGCATGCTGAAGTTGGAGCTGGACAGAGCTGGAGCTGTAGAGCTGGGGCTCCCGGCCGCTTTTAGCCACATGTGATTCTTCCGTCGAATGCGCTCCTCCCTCACCGACCAGGCACCCTGGGCAGCCCGCGATGACTTGTGAAACAAGACTATGGCCTCAACCTAATAGCAAGTGTCAGTGTTCATTGCTGTGCTTTGTGAGAAGTTATCCTGCCTCACGTTTCTGCATAATCTCGCCTTCGTGCTTCCTCTCCTGAGCACGGAAACCAAGTAGCGAGTTCCGGGGTCTGAACAATTTTTAGAGACCTTTGCAGCCATGTCTTCTTTTTCAGGCGGCATCTGAACGGAAAGTCTTTAAGACGAACAGGAGCTGTTTTTCTTTTTTAAAGAGGCACAAGAAGAGTTCTTTTTGTTTGATGAAAGGAAGGCGCTCAAGGAAAAGTCAACGGCCTTCCGAACTTTGCATCTCGAATTTAGGGTAGTGAAGTCAAAGGTCCTCTAAAGGAGAACAAAAGAAGAGACAACAAAACAACGAAACAATATCAACATGTGTTTGGGGGGTTAGGCCACTATTAACTTAAGTAAGTAAGCTAACAAGTAGTAAGAGGCATCAGAGTAGCAAGTGTGCAGCTATATATAGAACTAGGCGACTAGGCGCATGAGACTCAAAAAGATGAAATGAAGACGTTACAGAAAATGTTACTACTAGCGTCCTTGCTCCTAGTAGCGATGCCAGGAGCCTCTAGTAGACTCTAGTAGCTTTTTGTTCCTAGTAGTACGGCCAGGAGCCCCCAGCAGCGTCCTTGCTGCCAAAAGCGAAGAGGTCAAAAACGTGTTGCACACGTTGCAGTCTTTGACGCAAAAGATTCTAACATGTAACATAGATAAACATAGGACATGGTGGACAGAGATATCAACACTTTCAGATTTTATATCCTGTCACAACCCAAACCCCAAAGCCTGCGCTCGCTTAGCACGAAGCTCCGCAAGATCTTTCTCCTCACCAGGCTAGACCACCAGGGCCGTCTTGTTGAGCTTCAATTGTGGTATGCCAAATGTTGCAAGCATCTTTCTGAGGAGTTCTGGCATCAATTGTTCCAAGGTGACAGAAAAGTTTATCAAGCTATAATTACGATGGTCTCAAACATTACAAACGTCCTTTCCAATTGCACATCATTCTCATGTTTGATTGTATCATGTTGGTCTGTCTTGTCTCCTTTCTTTGGATGGCCTCCTGAATGGCCTCGCAGTGAAGTGTGGCAAAGAATGCTTTAACCAAAAGCAACGAATAATGCAAAAAAGACTCCTCTGTGTTCACTGTGTTTCATTCCATCAACTCAGCGTTACAGCGAACGGGGCATAAACACGTCAAACAAAGACAAACACACATTGGTTGGATCTGAAAACCAAAAAAGGAAGCTATAGGTAGCTACTAACTACTATGTAAGCGACTACATACTGGACGCAGGATAGCTCACCCTTCTTCAAGGAAGCTCCCCCGCCTGAGGGGGGGGAGCTTCCTTGAAGAAGCGCTCGCACCAATGATTTGGTTCCTAGATTGTTACGGAAACTTAAATATATGAGAGCTTGGCAACGATTGATTCCTTTTTGTCCCGTTGCCAAGTCTACTGGCACTACAGGTTCTATGTGCAAAAGCTCTCAAATGAGATCTTGAGAGTAGAACTTTAAAAATAATATTCATTGCTTGAAGAGTCCAGAATTCTGAAGCTCCAGAATGTGAGCCTCCTCCAGGCGTTTAAAGGGTAACGCTTCATTCGGAGCGAAAGGGGTGCTTCGGCGCTCCACGGCTTCGTTTAAACAGCAAAGGGCATCGCTACTAGGAGCAAGGACGCTACTAGGGGCTCCTGGCATCGCTACTAGGAGCAAGGGCCTTACTACTAGGAGCAAGAAGCTACTAGGAACAAGTGCATCGCTTCTAGTAACAAGTGCCGTACTACTAGTAACAAGAAGCTACTAGGAACAAAGGGCAGCAATTGGGATTCTTGTGAAGTTGGTAGCGATGCCAGGAGCGCTCCGTTCGTAGCGATGCCGTTTTGTTATTACTAGTAGATTCTTGTTACTAGTAGCAATGGCATCCTAGCAATAGCCTCCAACCTAATGGCGATGGCCTCCACCCTAGAAGCAAACCAATTCCATCGCAAAATTCCGATTAGGAGCCAAAGTACATCCACGGATGCAGCCTCGCATGTAGCCTACCAGCTCTCCCTGCCTTGGCCTTCTCTGCATCACGCATCTTCCATCTTGCACGGAGTTGCCTTGGAGATGTTGTCTCCAAAATCCGCACCAACAGCTTACATGAAGAACCCATGCTTTGTAACAGCCTCTGTCTACAGCAAGGTGATGATATTCTACAAACAGAGTTCAGAGAGTGTCACCACCTTTAAATATGAACCTGACAAAAGGAACGGCTACTCAGCTACTCGTTTAGTGAATATCACCATTTCAAGCATTGCACGATTGAAACCTGGCCAACAAATTCTCGCATTTTACCCAAGGTTTGTTTCCTCTTCGATATTTCCGGTTCGCTGTTGTCGCCCCTGTTTTGGTACTGCCTATATCGGTATCCACAAACAGCACGCCGTCTCGTTCCCATCTGTCCTGTACTCTTCGGCATCCCTCTCTTCCACCCGCTCTTCCTTGGCCTTCAGTTGTTGCTTGCATCAAAAGGACAGACTCTTCTTCTCTTTACGCTGCACTCAATTTGATTCTTCTGTCTCTTGCAAATCTTCGAGGTGATTTCCAGCACCAGGAAATCACCAAATCTGCGTTCGCACCGCCGCAGCGAGCGCACCTCTACAGCAATTCGACGTTGCCTCTGACGCTCCTTTTCCAAGCGGTCAGCCTAGCAGAGAAGCAGTGTGCTCTGTGCAGGATAATGGTTGGAGTGCTTGGAGTGCTGATGTGCAACCATGTGCGGAAGTGCATGCATGTGCTGAAGCATGATTGAGGGCTCAGGCACTGCTTCGGCTTTGGAGTTTATTCGAACAAATCATGGCAGAAGACTCGGCAAAGCAATGAAACGAAGCTGTTTCGATGCTGGGGGCGAGATCAAGCTGATCGCTAGCTAGCAACCTTTCTCAGCAGCGCTGCGTCATCTTCATATCTTCATCCTGGATCCATGCCTCCTTGTTGCGTCGTTCGAGCTCCTCTTTCATCTGCACCTGCAAGAAAAGAAACATGCAGGAATACAGAAAGTCTCTTTCATCTTTAGGTTTGCAGTTTTGCAGTTTGGGTCTTTTAGTTTCTAGTAGCTGTTTTGCAGTGCAGTTTCCCCTCCAAGCTCTCGGCCCGGCGAGTGCGCTCGGCTTCTAACTTTTCGTGGTGTTCCCTCTTCATCCTGCCCGTTGAGCTGCTTGGAAACATTCCAACGCTCACATCGCATTTGCAGTGGCACACTCACCTCTTTTGCCATCCATCTGCGAATCATCTCCTACAAGTATCGTCTTATGTTCGGTCTGCAGCAGCTGCCTCTCGGATTCCTCTTTCAGCCAGAAGACCTTGTCACTCAAACCGATCCAACCCTGTTAAAAGGTGTTGTCGAGAAAATGTCATAATTACTAGAGAAGCGCAGGACTTGCTCCCTGTCACCATGGGACTTTCCAACCAAAGACTCTCTTTTCAATCACTTTCACAAAGCTGCTCGAGAAAACTGAGACATGGGCATGTTGAAGAAAACGCTGTCTGGACTCTTGCTTTCGCTTGTGGATGTTCTCATTTCTTTTGATGTCCAACCTGAAGCCATCAAACTAGAATGTCTGAATGCCTCGTCGTCAGAACGAAAGAACGGAAGAAAGGAAGGAAGGAGGAAGGAGGAAAGAACAGAAAGAAAAGAACAACAGATTTGCATACATCAGATTTGCCTGGACCTTTGGAAGACCAACTTCCTCCACAAACCAGTGGTTTTCAGGTTCCAGGTTGTAAACATAGAAGAAGCAAATAAAAGGAGACCACTAGCGATGGCCTCCAACCTAATAGCGATGGCCTCCACCCTAGTAGCGGTGATGCAAAACGAGGAGACCGCTGATCACGGATAATCTCAGTGTCACACATGTCCATTTGTTCTCTAAGGCGTTGTCGCTCTTTGAGATCCTGCGGCGCATCAGCGTTCTTTTGCGACTTCGCAAACCGTTTTGCGACTTCTTTCGCTCTGAGGTTGGAGGCCATTGCTATTAAGCAAGGACACTATTCATAGGTGGAGGCCATCGCAAGTAGGTTGGATGCCGCTATTAGGAGCAATGTTCGCTACGAACGGAACAAAGAAGCTACGATTCTTAACCTGTTACTACTAGCGATGCACTTGTTCCTAGTAGTTTCTTGTTACTACTAGTAAGGCACCTGTTACTAGTAGCGTGGCACTTGTTACTAGTAGCTTCGGTTTCCCAAGACGGTTTCGGTCGTTCGCCCTGACCGGTCCATACGGCCCGTCGGGATCTTCCGCACGGTCTCATAGATGGGGAGCTCCGGCACCTCGAGGCGACGTGACTTTCTCCATGTGTCGTTACTCTTCCTCTTCGCTACTAGGAGCAAAAGGGCATCGCTACTAGGAACAAGTGCATCGCTTCTAGTAACAAGTGCCTTACTAGTAGTAACAAGAAGCTACTAGGAGCAAAGGGCATCGCTACTAGGAACAAGAACGCTACTCCTGGCATCGCTACGAACGGAGCAAGGACGCTAGTCAGGTGGAGGCCATCGCTGTTGCGTCCAACAAAAGTGCCATCTTCCAACCTCTGACGTCGGCTCCGGCTGAAGCTTCAGCTGTCGATCCTTCCCGACCTCAGAAACAAGAAATCAGCTCAAGCTTATCGGAAAAAACGAACCTGTTAATTACACTTTGTTTCCAGTAGCTTCTTGTTACTACTAGTAAGGCACTTGTTACTAGAAGTGATGCACTTGTTCCTAGTAGCGATGCCCTTTGCTCCTAGTAGCTTCTTGTTACTACTAGTAAGGCACTTGTTACTAGAAGTGATGCACTTGTTCCTAGTAGCGTCCTTGTTCCAAACACTGCGACTTCATAAAGTTCAGAGATCAGGAAAACGGCCTTTCGAGCCTTGGAATTTTCTGCGATGCGTTTTGGAGCAAAGAAAATCGGCTTCGCTGGGTCCCCAGGCGATCAGAATTGCCAAGCGCTCCGAGATCCAGTGAAACCGGCCTCTTAGCTCAACCAGCTACATCCCACTGGTCTAAAATGTATTTCTGGTCTTGGAAGTGCAATGAAGTGGTAGAGGCCGAGTCAGTGCACCTTTATCACATGAGTAAAGTGATTCACACATGGAAAAACTCGATGCTTCCAAAAGAAGAACTTGGAACGGCTACTAGTAACAAGTGCCACGCTACTAGTAACAA